TGGTCAGGAGGTGGTGCTTGCTTCTTAGTACCAATAGAGCTGGCTGGGTCCACCTGTTCTTTGCGCTGGTCTCAGTTTACCTAGATTTAGCAGGCACTACTTTTACCGTCTGCAAGTCTGTGTGTGCCCTGCCCTCTAGCGGTACTGGGGTTACACTGCAGCAGTGACCTTGCGTGTACCTGATTTTACCTCTTGAAATTCTCCTTTCCTCCCTAGAATAGAGATATCCTTGCAATATTGGGAACTGGTGCACTGAGATTCCTGGGGCATCAAATTGTGGCCCGATCTGAGCCCTAGGGCAGTAGTTTTCAAACTTTAGAGCGTAATTCTTTTTTTTTTTTTTGAGACGGAGTCTCACTCTGTTGCCCAGGCTGGAGTGCGATTGCACTATCTTGGCTCACTGCAAGCTCCGCCTCCCAGGTTCGAGCAATTCTCCTGCCTCAGCCTCCCAAGTGCCTGGGATTACAGGCGCTTGGCTAACTTTTGTATTTTTAGTGGAGACGGGGTTTCACGTGTTGACCAGGCTGGTCTTGAATTCCTGACCTCAGATGATCCACCTGCCTCAGCCTCCCAAAGTGCTGGAATTACAGGCGTGAGCCACCGTGCCCGGCCCTTTAGGGCATAATTCTAATTCAGTAGTCTGGAGTGAGACCCAGGCATCTAAATTTTTAACAAGTACCCCAGGCAATTCTGATGCAGCGAACTTCAGGCTACATCTTCAGAAGTCAAGTCTGTAACAGCTTTCTTCTCTTCCGAATTTCCCTCTCACTGCCCCGGGTAAGCGTTTTCCCTGGATCCCAACGCAAGCACCTTTGGGCTTTGGGGAATCTCAGACCAAATTAGCCACTCCCCTTGGCCAACCTCAGTATTGGGTTTCCAGGAGGTCATGTCTTGGATAGTCAGGGACAGAGGCTGCAGCTGCCCGAGCAGTCAGCCCATGTTGAGTGTGGCCAGTTCTTGCTAATCTGGCAGGGAGAAAAGTAAAGGAAGCTCCACCATTTAGTGCACCAACTGCGGACCAGTGTGGCAGGTACTATGCTAGGTGTTTTCTAATTAAATTTGTTTTTCGTCTTTTTTCTTTTTTTTGAGATGGAGTCACATTCTGTCACCTAGGCTGGAGTGCAGTGGCGCTATCTTGGCTCACTGCAACCTCTGCATCGGCCTCCTGAGTAGCTGGGACCACAGATGTGCACCACCACACCTGGCTAATTTTTTGTATTTTGGGTAGAGCTAGGGTTTCACCATGTTGCCCAGGCTGGTCTCAAACTCCTGAGCTCAAGCAGTCTGCCTGCCTCAGCCTCCCAAAGTGCTATGATTATAGATGTGAGCCACCTCGCTAGGCCATTTTTTATTTTTTATTTATTTTTTTAAGAGACAGGGTCTTGCCATGTTGCCCAGGCTGGTCTTGAACTCCTGGGCTCAAAGTGATCCACCTGCTTCGGCCTCCCAAAGTGCTGGGATTACAGGTATGAGCCACCGCACCTGGCCAAATTTTGAATTTTTAAAAAATTTTTAATTGGTGAAATCCCTACAACAAACCTTGAATTCCTTATTCACCGTATGTTGTAGATGAGGGAAAATTATCTGTAACAATTTCACAGCTAGTAAGAGCTGGAATTTGAATCTAAGTGTGTCTAACTCAGTAGTTCTCAGCTGGAGGAGATTTTGGCCCCTAGGAGACATTTGGTAACGTCTGGAGATACTTTGGGCTGTCAAAACTGGGAGCTGGGGATGGGTGATGTTGCCACTGACATCTAGGACAGAGGCCAGGGACCACGTAAATGTCCTACTGTGCACCCAGTAGCCCTCCCACAAGAAATTATTCTACTTCAAATGCCAGTGGGTGCTGAGGTGGAGAAACCCTGGACTCAAAGCCTGTGCTTCTGGCCTTGGGGGTGGGGTCAGTGTTCAGAACAAAATGGAAAAGGGTCACCCCAAGGGCCGTGAGCGGGAAAGGGATGGGATTTCTATGCTGGGGATAATGGAGAATAAGGGCCGCTGGTGAGGCTTCGTTTTCTTCCACGTTTGGCCAGGGCCCTGCTCAATTTCTCCCTGCCTTGCCAAGTCAGTCCTTAGGACTTCACACTAAGCTTGTCCTGGAGTGACCCTGACTCCCAACGCAGGATCGGGGCAAAATATTTACCTGGGTATTCCTGCAGCACTTCCCAGCCAAAGATGCTGGCTTTTGGGGCCAACATGTCCCACCTGCAGCCCTTGAGCAATTAGGACCCTTGCTGTGGGGGGTGGCCATGTGGGCAGGGCACTGCTGAAAGCCAAAAATGGAGTGGCCCAGGGACCAGGTGGCAGCTGAGAACAGTTAGAAGTGGAGTGAATGTGGCAGGGCACAGTGGCTTACACCTGTAATCCCAGCACTTTGGGAGGCTAAGGCAGGTGGATCACCTGAGGTCAGGAGTTCGACACCAGCCTGGCCAACATGGTGAAACCCTATCTCTACTAAAAATACAAAAATTAGCCGGGAGTGGTGGTGTGTGCCTGTAGTCCCAGCTACTCGGGAGGCTGAAGGAGGAGAATCGCTTGAACCCGGGAGGTGGAGGTTGCAGTGAGCCGAGATAGCGTCACTGCACTCCAGCCTGGGCAACAGAACGAGACTGTCTCAAAAAAAAAAAAATAATAATAATAATAATAATAATAAAAAAATAGGCCGGGCGCGGTGGCTCACGCCTGTAATCCCAGCACTTTGGAAGGCCAAGGTGGGTGGATCATGAGATCAGGAGATCGAGACCATCCTGGCTAACACGGTGAAACCCCGTCTCTACTAAAAATACAAAAAAATTAGCCGGGCGTGGTGGCGGGCACCGGTAGTCCCAGCTACTTGGGGCCGGGTGTGGTGGCGGGCACCTGTAGTCCCAGCTACTTGGGAGACTGAGGCAGGAGAATGGCGTGAACCCAGGAGGTGGAGCTTGCAGTGAGCCGAAATTGCGCCACTGCACTCCAGTCTGGGCGACAGAGCGAGACTCCGTCTCTAAATAAATAAATAAATAAAATAAGTGGAGTAAATGGGCAAAACCAGGAAGATCCTATCAGCCCACGGAGGAATAGGGCAACTTGAGTAGGAAGTAGGGGGCGGCTGGCCTGGGAAACAGCGTTCTGAACTGCAAGTTTGCTTCCCATAGCCATTCCTCCTCCCCAGGCTTGGTCCTCGGGTTCACTATACCCTCCCCGGTGCCAGCCACCATTCTGGACCTCCCCAATACTGGCCTCCCCCTAGACCAGGGAGGATCTAGACCAGAGAGTCTGAATTGACTATGCTAACAGGAAATACCTCTTTCCAAGCCCAGAGCCTCTGAAGAACTAAGGAGTAGAGCGGGGTTCGGGTTGGGGTTGGGGGTAGACAGTCTTGGAGTGATAGGGGAAAAGAAAGATCATACAATCACATCCCCCATGTTCTTTCCTTCACCACCCATGGGGGTGGATAGGGGGATGGAGGAGGGTAAGCAAGGAGGAGGATGTGGTAACAGCTGATTCGTCCCCTGAGGTCACACTTTCCAACAATCAGCTGTTACTGGGGCGCAAGGCAGGAAGTTTCCTTAAAGGCGCAATGTCCTGAACGCAGGCTCAGAATTCTGGAGCTCCAAGGAACTTGATCAATTACCTGATGGAGAGCGTATTTAACAGAGGGAAGGATCTCACCCTCCAGGCTCGTCTATCCTGCTCAGTTACTCTCAGCCCTTATTTGGAGCTGAAGGAAAAGGCATGGATTTCAGTCTACATGTTCCTCTTTCTGGGGCTTGCGCGGAGTGATAAGGTGGGGTAGGCTTGCCCCTTTAAAAAAGCCGACCAACAGCTTTTGCCAAGTCATTGGGTTCATTTCAGTTTTTGCCCATCCCCCGCTCATCGAGACTCTGATTGGCCCCTGGGGAAGGAGCAGTCTGCTCATTGGTCTCCACCTTCGAAATCTCTTCCCTAAGTAGGCCTGAGTCAGTGAAGAGCTTTGGAGGGCGGGACTGAATGGGGGTTAATCAGAGGATGCGATTGCTGACCATTTGCACTTTGGCATGGCCCATCCCCTAATTTCTGACCAGAAGCCCTCCCTGTACCCGAAGGTGAGGACTGTGCTATGAATCTATTGTTAGAAAGCTACCTCTTGGGAGGCTCTGGGGGCTCTTCTGGGACTGGGAAGAGACATCCCAGAAAAAAGCCTCCTCTGGTTAGGAAGGGCCCCCAGGAGGAGTGGGCTGGGTCTCTCCAGTGAAAGCTGGGCTGGGCGAGGTGAGCATCCTCCCTCCTCCAAAAGGCCTCGATAGCTCTCCAGCGGCAGCCTCTGCTACCCTGGGGGCTGACGCTCTGTCCACTCCTGCTCCTTGGTCCGCGCCACCTTTCCTTAAAGAGCTATAGCGTCCCGCCGAGGCCGGCCAGTCAGTTTGGGAGATGTCTAAAAGAAGCACTCACGGCTCCAACAAGGAGGGGCTGTCGCCCTTTAAGGACTTCCCTGGGCCGGATTCCGAGCTCAGTTTAAAAATGCCAACTCACAGAGCGCACTGGGTTCTGGGAAGGAGGGTGTCGGGCTGAGAACTACACGGACCAGCATGCATTGCAAACGCAGACGCCGTGACTTTCGCCTGCTCTTTAGGACTCTCGTTTGACGTAGCGCTTTTCTAAGCGGGTCGCTGACGCTAAGGGCTGGGCCACGCCTTTCCGTCTATTGGCCGGCTCGTGAGTGGGTAGGCGGGGCTTGGTGCAATTCCGCCCGGCAAAAGGGTGGCCTCCTTGCCAATCAGAGCCAGAGCGCCTGGAGAGGCGGGACCAGGGCGAGGCCCCGGCGCCCCCGGGTGGGCGTGGCCACGTTGCCCAGCAGTGGGCGGTGATTGGCCCCGGGCGGTGCATTCGCAGCTCGTGCGTCAAGACGCCGCCAGCTGATCGGAGCCTGGAGCCGGTGTGTGCTGGGCGCCGTGAAGAGACAGCGCCGCCGGCCGTGGGGAGAGGACGCGGTGATTTGCTCCCCTCTGCGCAGCAACCCCCACACCCAGCACCAGGTGGGTGTGAGCTGGCCATCCGGTCACGCAGCGGGGAACCGCGGTAACGGGATGGAGGGTGAAAGTGGGGTCCGGGCGGCCACACCCTGCCCTTCCGGGGAGGAGAGAGGGGGCGGCGGGGGCAGGGGCGCTTCGGGAAGAGGGGCCTGGACTGGCCGGGTTAGTGTGTCAGGAGCTCTGAGGAAAGAGTCCGGGACGGGAGTCGTGGCGGAAGGGCTGGCGGAGTGGCGGGGTTGGGGGAGCCGAGGGGCCGGAGGGCCGGGGGCGGCTCACCCGGCGGCCCGCGGTCTGAGGATACAGGGGCCGGCCATCTAGCCTGGGGAGGTTCTGGACCCCCCGAGCGGGCGGCGGGGAGGTGCTTTGCCTCTGTCGGCGTTCACTGGGTCAGAGCCAGTTCAGCGCCAGTTTAGCTCCCTGGCAGGGAAGGGGTCGCTGGGCGGGCCGGCCCCTCCTCTCGTTCCCTCCAGGGGATGTTATGTAAGGGGGGAGGGGAGAGGAGTAGGGGGCGGCGGTGCCGGGGCCTTATGCAACCCAAAGGTTAGGGTTTCACCGCGGTTGGGCGGGGGAAAGAGGGCAAGAGGAGGGCCTGGAAACTCTAACCCCCCCTCCCCAGACTAACTGGCCGTCTTGGGCCGAGAGAAGGTCACCTCTGCACCTCCCCCCAGCCTGTCCGGTTGTGAGGCCCCTAGCCCAGGCCTGGCCCTGACTGCCTGGGAAGCCGGCTGGCTGGGTGGGGCGCCTGGGTTAGTCATCACTGGGCTCCCTCTCTCCCCACCTCCCGGCCAATTCTTGGCCCCTCCCCATGGCCTCCGGCGAGGCTGTCGCCCCCACCTCCCTCCGGCCCTGGTTCCAGCCTCCAACTCCTTTGGCCTGTCATCCTGGCTGTCAGACTGGGCTAGGAGCTGTCAGAGTGCCAGAGAGTTGATGGAGCAGCTGGTCAGAGGGTCAGTGCCCTGGGCCCACCCCGCCCTGCAGCCAAGGGCACCTGCTTGGCATAGACTCTCAGCAGCTGCTGACTCCTCTGAGTTGAACAGAGCTATCTCAGACAGAGGAAGGTCGGACGGAGTTGGACTGGTCACCCAGGGGAAGGAAGATACACAAAGTTCATGCCTCCCAAGAGGGTTTCGGAATTTGAACCGCACCCCGTATCCGCCAATCTTTCTTACCCTCTGAGTATAGAAATTCCAAGGCAAGACCGCCTTGGCCCCTCAGCCTGGCGTGGGCCATGCCCTTGGACTGAGTGTCAGCAGAGACCCGCCCTCCCCAGCTCACATCCCCCGAGCCTGCCACGCCCCCAGCCCCCTCCCTGGGCCATGCTGCAGGGCCCGGCTTTTCCTGCTGATTCATGCGTTGGAACTGTGGGGGCGGGGCTTGGAACTTGGAACAAAGTTCAGACATGGAGGGGCCGGCAGACAGCCTGGAATTCATACCAGATGTACCCGGAATGCGCAAGCGGAATGCCTGGCATCCGAGAGTCCTGGGGAAGCTGCCCAGCCACCCTGCTCATACCTCCCTCCCCTCCAGCCTGTGGTCCCCTGCCCGCCCCTCACAGCCCCAGCCACCCTGCCCACACCTCCCTCCTCTCCAGCCTGTGGTCCCCTGTCCGCCCCTCACAGCCCCGGGGCCTCTGCTGACCTTCTTTCAAACGCTAGGCCTCCTCCCTTCCTCACTCTTCCCCAATCCAGGCCCCCAGAACTCTCCTTCCAGCTGAACTCCCTGGGAACAAGTCATTTGGGCTGATGACTGAACTCATATTTCTGGACCTGAGGTACCACACTTCTAGTACCTGCGTGCTGGTGGGGTGTGTCCAGGGTCTCGGGCTCTGCCCTGTCTGAATGCTGAGGAGGCTGGGCCCCCGGGGGCTGCTAGGGCAGGGGTGGCTGAGAGCAGGACTGGATTTCTCTAGACTCCAGTTCTGGAAAGAAGAGTAAGGGAAGTCTGTTTACAGCTGCCTCTTGCTGCTCACTGAGGCTAACAGCTTCTGCAGGCCCACATCAGAGCTGCAACCCTTCATTAGAATCTCAGAGGTCTACCGGGGCAGGACCCTGATGGCCAGTGAGTGGGTCAGCGTGGCAGCAACATGCCCTGCTCAGATCTTTCCCATTTTCCCTCCCTTTCCCCTAGGAGCCTGTTCCTCTCACACCCTCACCTGGCTGAGCCGCAGTAGTTCTTCAGTGGCAAGCTTTATGTCCTGACCCAGCTAAAGCTGCCAGTTGAAGAACTGTTGCCCTCTGCCCCTGGCTTCGAGGAGGAGGAGGAGCTGCTTTCCCCATCATCTGGAAGGTGACAGAAGTGGGCTGGGAAGGTCCGAACAGCAGGGTTGATGATACGTTTTGGGAAAGCTGGAGAGCCTTTGCCCAGATTGGCCCAGCAAGGAGCGGTTTTAGATTAGAGACACTGGCTGAATTGAGGAGTAGAAGGCTCAAACAAGCCCAGGTTAGTTGGTCTTTGTGTGACAGTGGGAAGAAGTGGAGAGAACACTCTGTCTCCCCAACTTCCTTCTTGACCCTCCTTCCGTGTCTCTCATTCTTCCCCACTGGCCTTTCCAGATGAGGTCCGAAAGTAAGTTCACTCTTCCAGGAAAAGTGACACTGAACCCGGTGTGAGGATCATCCCTCTGCTCTTATTTTTCCCTGCATTTCCTTAGGCTGGCCCAGACTCTCGATTCCTGGCCGCTTACCTGTGTCTGAGACCCTTAGGCCTCCTGTCTCAGTTTCTCCACCTGTGAGATGGGCAGCCAGACAGATGAGTGTACGTGAGGGAGTCAGAAGCCCACCTGGGCTCTCGCGCCGCTGTGGGTGGGAACACACACTTTTCACATAAGCTGTTGTCCCTCCCCCATCCCTGACACCATCACCCAGGAGCTGGGCGGGGTAATGGGAAGCTGGAGGAGGGGGTTAGAGTTAGACCAATGCAAGGAGCTAGGAGGAGCTCGCCTCTCCACGATGTCCCCCCATGCAAGGGTGGCCCAAGGCTTCCCCTGATATCCAAAGCAGGACAGCAGCCCCTTGGTGGGATTCTAACTGCCGCTGCCCTGTTTCTTTCCTCACTTTGCTTTCCAAGGTGGTGTGTGATCCCCAGCTCAGGCCTGTGCAGACAGGAAATTCTCCCCTGCAGCAAGCAGGGGAGGTGGGTTGTGGGATGTGACCTCCTTCTGGATATCAGGCAGTGTAAACCTGCCCCCTCCAGCCCTGATCCATTCTCACCCAGCGGCTACAGGAAGCTGTCTGTTCGATTTGGTGGGAGGAGATGTGCAGGGAGCTGTATCTTATCCTCCGCTTGTGAAAAACTCAAGGATGTGGAGAAGAGTAGACTGTGGAACCCTGCCCTTCTGCAGCCAAGCTGAGTGGGACAGTGGTAGAGAGGAGGGGATAGACGCATAGGCTGCAACAAAGGTCACTCTGTTCCTGGACACTGCCTCCGTCCTTTCTTCTTGCTTCACTGGCCACAGCGTCTCCCTCCAGCCCTCGCATGTGCCTCTGCCATCTTCACCCATCATGGAGCAGAGGTGAGGAAAGGGAGCCTGGAAATGCGGACACCAGTGAAGGACCAGGCCTGGAGAGCACAGGGTCCTACCTGGGCATCCAACAGAGGAGCCCATAAAGGCCAGGAGCACCCCAAAAGGAGGGAGGACAGCCAGCCTCCATCGACGGCAAGCCTCCAGCCCTCTCCTCCTTTGATCGCCATTTCTCTCCAGGCTTTCTGCCTCCAAGATGTGGCACCATAGTGCAGTGCCCTGTGGCTTCACCGCCCTACTTCCACCTCCGCCCAGCCTGTAATGTTTATGTAAGCAGCCTCAAGGACCAAGAGCCATCTGCGAAAGGACATACACAGGAAATTCATAAAAGAAATCGGAATGGATAAAACCATGAAAAAAATGTATGCTTCATTAGTAATTAAAGAAAGGCAAATAGAGCTGAAAGCATTTTTCCCTTAGCAAACCATAACAGAAAAAAATAAGACCCAATATTGGCAAAGAGACTATTGAAATGACATTGCCATATATTGCGCGTGGGAGTATACATCGTATACATCGGTGCAGGCTTCCTGGATGGCGGTTGGGTAATATGTGTCATGTAGCCTAAAAGCTCCACGTCCTTTGACCTATGAATTCTATCTTTGGGAATTTATCCTAAGAAAATAATTAAGGATTTAGTTAGTGATAAGATGTTCATCCTAGGTTTGCAATGGAGAAAAATGGGAAGCAATGGTTTGGTTGGGAATTCATTCCTTTTCTGCTGTAATGAAAGTTTGCAGTAGGGGATTTTGCTTAGGGAAATTATTGTATCTCCATCCAGATGGTGGGGTACTGCACAGACATTAAAAGTCATGTAAAAGAACATCTGACTGAAAGAAAAATACTCCTTGAATATTAAAAGGTTGTAAAAATAGTGCATGTTATGTGATCTCAATTTTGTCTTTTAAAGTATGGGTGTATACTTGTATACGTAGAGCAGATAAAAAAGACGAAAGGCATGCTAAAAAATGTTCAGTGGTTATCTTTGGATGGTGGAACAAAGTCACTGAAATTTTCATCTTTAGTTTTTCTGTAATTGCCAAATTTTCTACATTAATTGTGTATTGCTTTCCTATAATAAATATAATTTAAGAGATTGGTGTTATTATTTAAACCTTTGGAGAAGTGGGGGTAGAAGAATGAAGGGAAGACCTCAGCTTTTTGGTGAGAAGGTTTGGTTGGGATGCCTCTTCGTCTATGAACTTAATTCTTTGAAGTAGCTGGAATCCTTCCTCTCAGGCTGCAGGAAACAGCTCTGAATTGCTGGCTGACTGCTAGCTGAAGAGGTGTGGAGTGGAGTAAGGTGGAAGGAAAGCAGTACAAACCTGGGGCTCTTCAGGTGGTGAGGGGCTGGGGGAGACTTTTCCTCTTAAGGCTGGAGGGTTCTAGAATCTTAACAGCCCTGCTACTGAGAGCAGGACAGATCTGTTTTTCTCTTCTGACTCTGTCCCAGCCTTGAAGGGACCCTGTGTTACCTTTCCTTGTCCTTGGATTGTTAGATACCCTACCTACCCAACAGGTACCAGGCCTTTGGGGAAGGGGGGTGCTTTTCAAGACCGGCGGCCAGCGATTCCCTTTTGCCTCGTCTTCCTAATGAGGCTCCTCTGTAGGGCCAAAAACAATGCTAGGGGTCAGGGCGGGGCCCAGTGCGTCGCTTCTCCAACATGGGGGCTCCTGGGGGTTGTGGAAGCGGGGAGCAGAACTGCTGGAATTACAGGTTTTCTGGGATATGTTAAAGGCCTGGAAACCTCAGGAGGCAGAAGGGGTGGCTCCAAGAAAGTGGGGCGCCCCCTCCCCACCACGGATGCTGGGAGGGAAGTGGGGGCGGCGGCGAGACTCGGGCAGGCACGTGTGGGCTGTGCTGGCCTCTGCCTTCCAGGGTGTGGCGGTGACGCTCAGTAGGTGAAAGGCTCTGGAGCTGGAAGAGGAGGTCGAGGTTCGCGGGCGGGGCCCGGGAGTGTCAGGTGAGGTTAGACTGGAGACCCAGGTCTGCAACTCCAGCGTTTCAGGATGCCTGGAGCTGGGGAGGAACCCTATTGGTGAACATCCTGGAGGCCCCCCGAGCTCCAGGGTCCGGAGCTCCCCTGGCTGGGGCGGGACGCGATCGGTGGCCAAGGCTCCGGGGGTGGTGGCCCCGCGGCTGCTCCAATCACCGCGCAGCCGAGGGATGGGGCGTGGACGAGCAGGGAAAAGTTCCTGCGGATTTCGAAGGCGGGGCGGGGAGGGGAGCCGGGGGCCCAGCCCTGCAGGAAAGCGGGTTCCAGTCCTGGCCGAGAGTGCGGGCACCAAGCGGACAGACTTGGACCCCCCGCCCCCCCAACCGCTGCCCGGTCATGGCGCCCCCGGGGCTCCTGGTGGCCGGCGCCTCCTTCCTTGCGTTCCGAGGGCTGCACTGGGGGCTGCGGCGGCTGCCCACGCCGGAATTGGCCGCTCGGGACCGCTGGCAGTGGCGGAACCTCTGCGTCTCCCTGGCGCACAGCCTGCTCTCGGGGGCCGGGGCACTGCTCGGGTGCGGGCTTGGGGGTTCAAGGCGCACCGGGCGAGGGCGAGGGGTGGGAGGCTGAGGCCGGGAGACCCGGCGGGCGTCTCCAGAGTTGAGACTGGGGTGGGGGCGCCCACAGAGAGAGCGGGGTCAGGGCCTGGAGAGGCTAACCATGCCCCTCCCTTCCCCCTCCATACCCCAGCCTGTCACTGCACCCTCAGATGGCCACCGACCCCATCCATGGCCACCCGAGCTGGGCCCTGGTGCTGGTGGCCGTGTCTGTGGGTAAGTCTGCAGGGAAGGCTGGGCCGGTGGGGCGACGGGGGGTGCGGGGGGCAGCTTCTGCTGTCCTTCGAGGTCCATTCCCCTCCCCCGTGGGGGTTAAACGTTCCTGAAGCTTTTACCAAGGGAAACCTAAGAACTGGGAGAGGGGCGGGGCGGGGCGGGGAGGGGGGAGCTGGAAATCCTCTCTAAGCTGCCCAGGCTCTGAAGCAGCCTAACCTCTACCCCCATGCCCACAGGTTACTTCCTGGCAGACGGAGCTGACCTGCTGTGGAACCAGACCTTGGGCAAGACTTGGGATCTTCTCTGTCATCATTTGGTGGTGAGACTGAGGGGAGAAGCCAGACAGGAGGGAGGAGGGAACCCTGTCCAACCTGAGCTTCCCAGTCTCTCCTCTTTCTTCTTTTTTTTGAGACAGAGTCTCACTCTGTCACCCAATTTGGAGTCCAGTGGTTCAGCCTCGGCTCACTGCAGCCTTCGCCTCCGGGGTTCAAGCAATTCTCCTCCCTCAGCCTCCCATGTAGCTGGAATTACAGGCACCCACCACCACACCCAAGTAATTTTTATATTTTTACTAAAGATGGGGTTTCTCTATGTTGGCCAGGCTGGTCTCGAAATTCTGACCTCAGGTGATCCACCCACTTCGGCCTCCCAAAGTGACGGGGTTACAGGCATGAGCCACTGCCCCTGGCCCTCTCTTCATTTTTTTATCCTATCATTTCCCACAGAGTCTCTGCCCCCAGCTGGTGCTTGGCTCCCCAGTCTTAGGCTGAGTTAGAGGGAGGAGGTGGCTGCTGGCCACAGCTGGGGAGTCCAGACACCCACCATCCAAGGGCACCTACCATGTGAGCCTAAGGAGTTCGGGTCCCCCCACAGGTGTGCAGTTGATCACGGAAATGTGGAATATGGAGCTTTTCTGAAAAGGGGGTGCCCTAGTATAGGGTGCGGGTATGCGGTATGAAAGCCCTAGGCCAGGTGTAGTGGCTCACGCCTGTAATCCCAGAACTTTGGGAGGCCGAGGCAGGTGGATCACGACGTCAGGAGATCGAGACCATCCTGACTAATACAGTGAAACCCGGTCTCTACTAAAAATACAAAAATTAGCTGGGTGTGGTGGTGCACGCCTGTAGTCCCAGCTACTCGGGAAGCTGAGGCAGGAGAATCTCTTGAACCAGGGAAGCGGAGGTTGCAGTGAGCCAAGATCACACCACTGCACTCCAGCCTGGTGACAGAGTGAGACTCTGTCTCAAAAAAAAAAAAAAAAAAAAAAGAAAGAAAGAAAAGAAAGCCCAGGAATGGGAAGTTAAAGGGGTGTTAGGGGATGAGACAGCCCCTCCCTGGGCCAATCCTGGCTCCATCTATGGAAGGGTTGTTTCAAGGCTGCTCAGGGCCCCAGGATAAAGGTAAAAGCATAAAGGTCAGGTGTTTGGGGAGTCCCACAGAGTGCGTGGAAGCCTCTCTTAAGGCCTGGGTTATTGGGACATGATGGCTGGCAGGTTGTGGGGGGTCCTCTGACCTGTGACCCTGGCTCCCAGGTGGTGAGCTGCCTCAGCACCGCTGTTCTGTCTGGCCACTACGTGGGCTTCTCCATGGTGTCTCTGCTCCTGGAGTTGAACTCTGCCTGCTTGCACCTGCGGAAGCTGCTGTTGCTCTCTCGCCAGGCCCCATCCCTGGCCTTCAGCGTGACCAGCTGGGCCTCCTTGGCCACCCTGGCCCTCTTCCGCCTGGTCCCGCTGGGGTGGATGAGTCTGTGGCTATTCCGGCAGCGCCACCAGGTTCCTCTTGCTCTGGTCACCCTGGGTGGAATTGGGCTGGTCACTGTGGGCGTCATGAGCATCATATTGGGGATCCGCATTCTGGTCAATGATGTCCTGCGGTCTCGACCCCATCCACCCAGCCCCGGGCACGAGAAAACCAGGGGGACCAGGACACATCGTGACGATGGACCTGTCACCAGGGACAATTCCACTCTCAGCCTGAAAGACTAGAGAAAAGCCATGGGCCCCTCGCTGGGGGAGGTGGGGCCAGGACAAGGAGATGAGGGTCTTCCATGCACAGTCCCCCATCGGGGTGAGGGCCAGACTGGCTCATCAGCATCTCGGTTTCTCTTGCAGCTAACTCACATCCCTTCCCCTTGCTAGGATCTAAGAAGAATAGCTGATGTTGGATAGGTGGGAACCTGGGTTTCTGTTTACTGAAATCCGTCATCAGATGAGTGCCCTTTCCAGCAAATAAACTCAAGAAGTACAGCCAGATCTTCAGTAAAGGGTGGCAGGAGGCAAGCAGCTGGAAGAAACTGCCAGTGGAGACAGAAGCTCTTTGCTTTAACCCAGGGACATGTCGGGGAAGGTGAAGTCCCACTAGGATCAGAGAGATCTGGTATGGGGCGAATAGGGACAGAGAAAAGAGATCTCACCTATAACCAAATTCTGGCAGGGGGAGGAAGGTAGAGGAGGTGCTATCTGTCCCGGCAGAGATGGACGTGATAGTTGCCAAGAGACAGAACCTGGGCCACAGCAATTGCTGCTAATATTTCTGGTTCTCAAAGCCACACTCCTGTTTTTCTTTCTTTTTTTTTTTTTTTTTTTTTGAGACGGAGTCTCGCTCTGCCGCCCAGGCTGGAGTGCAGTGGCCGGATCTCAGCTCACTGCAAGCTCCGCCTCCCGGTTTCACGCCATTCTCCTGCCTCAGCCTCCCGAGTAGTTGGGACTACAGGCGCCCACCACCTCGCCCGGCTAGTTTTTTGTATTTTTAGTAGAGACGGGGTTTCACCGGGTTAGCCAGGATGGTCTCGATCCCCTGACTTCGTGATCCACCCGTCTCGGCCTCCCAAAGTGCTGGGATTACAGGCTTGAGCCACCGCGCCCGGCCTTTCTTTTTTATTTTTTTATGAGATAGCATCTCACTCTGTCACCCAGGCTTGAGTGTAGTGGCACGATTCCAGCTCACTGCAACCTCAGCCTCCTGGGTTCAAGTGATTCTCCTGCCTTAGCCTCCCAAGTAGCTGGGACTACAGGTATGCACCACCAAGACCAGCTAATTTTTGTATTTTTTGGTGGAGAGGTTTTACCATGTTGCCCAGGCTGGTCTTGAACTCCTGACCTCAAGTGATCCACCTGCCTCGGCCTCCCAGAGTGCTGGGATTATAGATATGAGCCACTACGCCCGGCACACACTCCTGTTTTTCTGCTTAACCCTGGTCCTACTGTGTCCTTTTAATTTTTTTAAATTTTTTAATTTTTTTGGTGTCTTTTTACTTTTCGTTTTTTTTTCTTTTCTTTTTTTTTTCTTTTTTCTTTTTTTTTTTTTTTTTGAGACGGAGTCTCGCTCTGTCGCCCAGGCTGGAGTGCAGTGGCGCGATCTCGGCTCACTGCAAGCTCCGCCTCCCGGGTTCACGCCATTCTCCTGCCTCAGCCTCCCGAGTAGCTGGGACTACAGGTGCCCACAACCGCGCCCGGCTAATTTTTTGTATTTTTAGTAGAGACGGGGTTTCACCGTGGTCTCGATCTCCTGACCTTGTGATCCGCCCGCCTCGGCCTCCCAAAGTGCTAGGATTACAGGCGTGAGCCACCGCGCCCGGCCTTTTTTTTTTTTTTTTTGAGACAAGTTCTTGCTCTGTCGCCCAGGACGGCGTGTAGGACTTGATCTTGGCTCACTGGAATCTCTGCCTCCCAGGCTCAAGCAATACTCCTGCCTCCCAGCTTAGCCTCCCAAGTAGCTGGGACTACAGGTGCACGCCACTGCACCAGGCTAATTTTGGTGTTTTCTTATAGAGACCAGGTTTTGCCATGTTGCCCAGGCTGGTCTCAAACTTTTGCACTCAAGTGATCCACCCACCTCAGCCTCCCAAAGTGCTGGGATTACAGACGTGAGCCACCGTACCTGGCCTCTTTTGACTTTTCAAAGACAATTCGGATTATTAGAGGAATGAACACAGGGCTAGGTCTGTCTTCTTAGGATGGCACTGAAGTCCAGAATCACAGAAGGAACTCAAGCACCCACTTGGGTGCCCAGTACAGAGTTTTCCCAGGCCCAGGCTTTCGTGGAAGAATGAGTGCAGAGGCAGAGCGTGTGAGAGAAGGCTGCAGGAGGATAAAGGAATAGCTGGCCTTCTGGCCGGGCGTGGTGGCTCACGCCTGTAATCCCAGCACTTTGGGAGGCCGAGATGGGAGGATCACCTGAGGTCAGGAGTTTAAGACCAGCCTGGTAAACATGGTGAAACCCTGTCTCTACTAAAAATACAAAAATTAGCCAGATACCTGTAATCCCAGCTACTCGGGAGGCTGAGGCAGGAAAATCGCTTGAACCCAGGAGGCAGAGGCTGCAGTGAGCCGAGATCGTGCCACTACACTCCAGCCTGGGCAACAGAGTGAGACTCCGTCTCAAAAGAAAAAAAAAAAAGGAAGAGCTGGACCTTTTCTGAGATTCATTCATAAGCTCTTCCTCCCTGTTGCTTCTGCTGTGTTTTTTTTTTTTTTTTTTTTTTTTTGTGACACAGAGTCTCGCTCTGTCACCCGGGCTGGAGTGCAGTGGCCAGATCTCAGCTCACTGCAAGCTCCGCCTCCTGGGTTCACGCCATTCTCCTGCCTCAGCCTCCCGAGCAGCTGGAACTACAGGCGCCGCCACCATGCCCGGCTAGTTTTTTGTATTTTTTTTTAGTAGAGACGGGGTTTCACCGTGTTAGCCAGGATGGTCTCGATCTCCTGACCTCGTGATCCGCCCGTCTCGGCCTCCCAAAGTGCTGCTGCTGTGTTTTTTTTTCTGTTGAACAAGACCGCTTCCTTCCCAGAACATCCAGGTGATGGGAAGTGCCGAGCAGATTAAGGCTGTTCTACTAAACAATGAACTGAGAGAGGCAACCCTTAGCCATCCACAGAAAAGGTACATGAGCAAAAGCAAGAGACAGGAAGATTGTCTTCAAAAAAACCTTGCTAAGAAGCGGAAGTACAGAAAGACACAAAGAATGACAGAGACAGACATACATAGATTGAGCGACAGATAGAAAGACAGAAGGATTATTCGCATAGAGGTGACAGAGGCAAAAATGGATGGAGGGCAAAAGAGACAGGCCTTAGCAGAAATATGGAGAAAGGCTGTCATAGATCCTGAGACACACCAACGTCACAGAACTGATAAAATGGTTATAAACAAAAAGGACCAGAAAAATAGAAATAAAGGCCAACAAGAAGAGACCCCAAGGCTGAAAGGCACCCAGAGTCTAGACAGTGAACTAGAGTGAGTCAGCCCGGCACGGTGGCTCACGCCTGTAATCCCAACACTTTGGGAGGCCGAGGCGGGCGGATCACGAGGTCAGGAGATCCAGACCATCCTGACTAACACGGTGAAACCCTGTCTCTACTGAAAATGCAAAACATTAGCTGGGCGTGCTGGCAGGTGCCTGTAGTCCCAGCTACTCAGGAGGCTGAGGCAGAAGAAAGGCGTGAACCCGGGAAGCAGAGCTTGCAGTGAGCTAAGGCCACTGCACTCCAGCCTGGGCGACAGAGCCAGACTCTGTGTCAGAAAAAAAAAAAAAAAAAAAAAAAAGGGCCAGGCGCAGTGGCTCATGCCTGTAATCCCAGCACTTTGGGAGGCCGAGGCAGGCGGATCACGAGGTCAGGAGATCGAGACTATCCTGGCTAACACGGTGAGACCCAGTCTTTACAAAAATATAAAAAATTAGCCGGGCGAGGTGGCGGGCGCCTGTAGTCCCAGCTACTCAGGAGGCTGAGGCAGGAGAATGGCGTAAACCCGGGAGGCGGAGCTTGCAGTGAGCTGAGATCCGGCCACTGCACTCCAGCCTGGGCGACAGAGCGAGACTCCGTCTCAAAAGAAAATAAAGGAAATAGAGTGAGTGACAAGGAGGAACACCCAGGCTCAGGAGCGATGGAGGAAATACTGGCAGATAGAGAGATCAGAAGAGCAAGAGGAGAGGTGGGCACAGAGAAGAGGGGGGATGAGTCCGGGGAGCTGAGAAGCGGAAGAGCAGAAGGCGGAGGAGGCAGTCAGTGGGAAGATTCACCGACGGAAGAGACCAGGAGATACGGGGACTTGGAGGCAGGCAGAAAGACAAAGGACAAACAGCTGCAATGCAAACCTAATGACACAGGCTGACAGTAACCGGTCAGCAGAGACTGGTAGGAAGGTAAGGACGAGTCAAAATCAGGGGTGTCAACTGAGATGCAAATATAAGCAAAGGAGCTGACAAAGAGAATCACAGAGAGAAAAAAAAGGAGGAGGGCGCAGAATGATTTAAATATCCAGGCCAGCCGGGCACGGTGGCCCAAGCCTGTAATCCCAGCACTTTGGGAGGCCGAGACGGGCGGATCACGAAGTCAGGAGATCGAGACCATCCTGGCTAACACGGTGAAACCCCGTCTCTACTAAAAATATACAAAAAACTAGCCGGGGGTGGTGGCGGCGCCTGTAGTCCCAGCTACTCGGGAGGCTGAGGCAGGAGAATGGCGGGAACCCGGGAGGCGGAGCTTGCAGTGAGCTGAGATCTGGCCACTGCACTCCAGCCTGGGCGACAGAGAGAGACTCCGTCTCAAATAAATAAATAAATACATAAAAATAAGTATCCAGGCTGGGCATGGTGGCTCACGCCTGTCATCCCAGCACTTTGGGAGGCTGAGGCGGGCGGATCACCTGAGGTCAGGAGTTCGAGACCAGCCTGGCCAACATAGTGAAACCTCGTCTCTACTAAAAGTACAAAAATTAGCCGGGCGTGGTGGCAGGTGCCTGTAATCCCAGCTACTCAGGAGGCTGAGGCAGGAGAATCGTTTGAACCTGGGAGGCCGAGGTTGTTGTGAGCCGAGATTGTGCCATTGCACTCTAGCAGGGGTGACAGAGTGAGACTCCATGTCAAAAAAAAAAAATTGAATATCCAAAGGAAGAACAAAGAAGAGGCAGGAACCTAGAGATGAAGAGAGAAGAAAAAGAAATACCAGGTGTGAAAAAAAAAAATGAGAGGGATTGTGAGAAGTCTCCATCATAGAGTCGTAAAAACAGGCGCAAAGGATGAAAATAACGACTCAAGACTGAGGAAAACACAGTTGGAAGGAGCTAAACACAAGCAGAAAATAAGAGCAGAGCATTTAAATGTAATTAGATAAAAACCTAAGAGGCGAAGGTATAGGTAGTGAGCTAGAGAAACAATGTAGAATTTTGTCAGAGTCTGTACTTTTAGAAGTCATATCTTTGCTGGCTGGACATGGTGGCTCATGCCTGTAATCCCAGCACATTGGGAGGCCGAGGTAGGAGGAGTGATTGAGCTGAGGAGTTCAAGTCCAGTCTGGGCAACATACTGAGACCTCCTCTCTACAAAAAAAAAAAAAGGTTACTTTCTTTTTTCTTTCTTTTCCTTTTTATTTTTTTTTTTGAGACAGAGTTTCATTCTTGTCGCCCAG